CCAAGCAACTGAGCTGGCTATGATTCTTAGCTCCCAACCTTACTTCCTGCCATCAAACAAACAATGTCCTCTTTCTCACAGCTTGGCACATTCTCTTAACTTGTGCCACTTCCCTTCCACAACAGATCTCCCTGTTCTGTCAGACCAAACCTTCTATAGCCTTTCCTTGAAAACCATTAAGAACTTTCCCTGGGGAACCTAGAACCTGGTTCAGTTGATGTTAGCATTGGAAGCTGGACCAGAACCTTACACCATTGTTTTCTCCTTGCGCGGGCATCACACTGAGGTATCACTCACTATTCTACCTTTTTCGGTACTGTCCTGTTTCCTAGAATAAAGGAGTTGGAAGAAAGACGCATGAGGCTCTTCTCGTCTAGCCAAGCCCTCTGCAATGCATAGAAATACCAATTAAGCCTTCTTAGAAAAGGGAACAGTTCAGCCTCTTTTCGAAAACCTCCAAGAACTGAGACACCCCCCCCACCACCACCTATCTGCCAAAAGGGTTAGGATTTTAGGGCAGAACAACGTGAAGAATGGCAGACGCCTCGTGTTTTGGGGCTGTGGGGATCTGTATTTTTATCTCCCAGCTGACTCAGAGGCTTACCGAGAGCGGCTGAGATGGCTGGGATGCTTGCTGCTCACCTGATGGGCTCCAAATGCCTTTAATAGCCAGGAAATGCTTTGGCTTGTCTTTAGCAAACAAGTATCAAAAGACCCCGATACGCCTTCTCCAAAAGGGCCTAGATTTTTCACCCATGACAGCAAGGATCTTAATCTATCCCCAGACAGACGTGCGTTCCTTGCATTCCATCAAACTCCAGTGTGACCCAGAAGCTGAAGCCAGGACCAAGCTATGTTAGATGTAAGAGATGAGATTAGCCCCGGGTTTGGGTTTTTAATAGCTGCCATCTCCCAGGGATTTAGCGCATATCTCCGGTGCGTCCCCCTACCATGGCTTCTACCCTCATCATGCCAAAAAAGTAAAGAGGTACAGTAAAAAAAGAAAAAATTCCAGAGTGGGGGAGAGAGGAAGAGGAAGGGCTGGGGTCTCTTCTCTGCTCACTGCTCGTCTTCCGAAGAGAAGCATTTTGCTAGCAAAGGACAGCAGACTGTCCGGATTGGACCACAAGAGATTGTTTACAGACCGAGCCGAGAGCCCACCCAGGCTGACAATCTTTTCTTAGCTGCCGATGAGCTCATTTCTTGGCTGGCTGCTCCAACCATCTCTTTACCATCATTAGCCACCAAAAAAAGGATCGCGCTTTGTGTTACGTAAGGGGACAGGCCTGCTTGTTCAGAGAAGGAGGATGTAGCCGTGCCTTCCTTTCTCCTAGCATTGCAAGGCCTTTTTCGGTCATCTGCTTTTTCCTCCTCTGGACGTTGCCACAGTATCAGGTCATTGGGAGGGATTTAGAAACAGGCTTCAATCAGCCAGTTGGTCTTCCCAGCCATGGAAAGGAGGCTTAAGGCTGCCATGTCACCGGCGGGGCTGTTTTAAGGTTAAGGACACCCTGGTTGGATAGATGTTGAAGGTGCAGAACAAGGGCTAACTTCTAGGATGGACTTTTCTCTACGCAGTGGGGATTTTAATACTCACGATATAAAGAAATGGCTCTGTAGAATTCCCTTCTGGCTAAGGGGTTTTACAAGAAGCTGTCCCAACTCTCTCAACCTGCCTGGAACGCAAGCCGATTTTGCAACGAAGCTATAAATCTGTTTCCTCCTATTCCTCAGCAGCCTTTTGAGTGAGAAAATCCAGGACAGCACACACTCTCTCTCTCAAAATCTGACATTATTGCCAGGGGACCCTGAATTCGAGGCATTTTTACGAAGAACAGCCATAAAGGAGAGGAGCAGCAATAACGACGGCTACTAGAACGGGGCCAAATAACCCAAGCCAAGATGCTCGGTGCTTGTTGAATTACGACTCTTTCCAGGGGAAAAGAAAGATGTTGCTTCAGTTAAGATCTAGGCAGGCACTGCAGAACCAAAAGGAAAACCGAGTTCAAGTCACAGCCAGAATGTGATCTTGGGAAGAAGCCCTGAAGTGCTTTAAGAGCGCCTTCTTCCAAAAAGACCTTTTGTCTTAACAATCTAGCCTTTAGAATAGAATACAGCTGGAAGGGACCTTGGAGGTCTTCTAGTCCAGCCCTCTGCTCAAGCAGGAGAACCTATACCACCTCAGACAAGTGACTGTCTTGTCTCTTCTTAAAAACCTCCAGTAATGGAGCTCCCACGATTTCTGAAGACAAGCTGTTCCATTGGTTAATTGTCTTCACTGTTAGGAAGTTTCTCCTTAATTCTAGGTTGCTTCTCTGTTTGATTATTTTCCAACCATTGTTTCTCATCCTGCCCTCTGGTGCTTTGTAGAATAATTTGATCCCCTCTTCTTTGTGGCAGCCCCTCAAATACTGGAATATTGCTGTCATGTCAACCCTAATTCTTCTTTTCTCTAGACTAGCCAGACCACAAACCTGCAGCCGTTCTTCATAAGTTTTAGTCTCCAGGCCTTTGATCATCTTAGTTGCTCTTCTCTGAACTTTTTCCAAAGTCTCAACATCTTTTAAATAGGATGGTGACCAAACTTGGTTGCAGTATTCCAAGGAGAAACTTCCTAACAGTGAGGACAATTAACCAGTGGAACAGCTTTGCCTTCCGGAATCGTGGGCGCTCCGTCACTGGAGGTTTTTAAGAAAAGACTAGACAGACGCTTATCTGAAATGGTATAGATTCTCTTGCTTGGGCAGGGGGATGGATTAGAGGACCTCCGAAGTCCCTTCCAGCTCTATTCTATTCTATTCTATTCTATTCTATTCTATTCTATTCT